CAAACACCGCTACCTTAGGGAGTGTATTTTCAAGTATATAAACGAAGTTTTTATACATTTGTCACAAAACAAGAAATAAATGAATATAATTTCTATAAGACTGATATTATTGATAAGGATCTTAAAGAAAAATTCTCTAACAAATAATCGAATTTTTCAGTAACCAAAATTGCAACGTAACATGAACTGGTTCTTCGGAGTCAATAAAACGCTTTTTGATATAACGCTTGATCAAAGAATGTTCAAGAAAATTTTCATTTAGATTTAACGTCTGCAAACAGGTTTGGGGTTGAGAATTTAATTAAATTGTCGTATACAAACAACAGTCAGCATAATAATTATAATAGTGTTATTATTTGGATGTACTATGCCGAAATAGTAGTCAGGGTTTGACACATAGTGCACTCGCCTCCGGCTCGTGCACCATGTGTCAAACCCTGACTACTATTTCGGCATAGTACATCCAAATAATAACACTATTATATAAATATAATATAATATAATATAATATAATATAATATAATATAATATAATATAATATAATATATAATAATTTAATATAATATAATATAATATAATATAATATAATATAATATAATATAATATAATATAATATTCCTGTCCTTGCCATGTCTTAACTTGTAATGGAGAAAGGTTGAACTTAACGTGACATACATATTACTTATCACCCAAGAGTGTGACATGACCTTGACGCAATGTTCAAGGTTACCGGCAGAAATGGATGTTTATGCATTAAACAAATATTACTGATGACCCAATGATGGGTCATGGACCTTGCCCAAAAGTTACTTGTGAAAGTTTCTGGTTATTTTCAGAATGTTCATTATAATTCTTGCCTGGTCCATAACTCTCTAACGGAAAATAGTGGATACTTCACACACTGATTACTTATGTCCAGAGGATGTGTCTAGACCTTAAAAAGCAAGGTCATGTTGGCAAGTTCAAGGTCACTTTTTAAAAAATGTATAAATCCTGCCCTGGCTGTATCTTTCAATGGAGATACAACATAAGGATGTCCATTCTTGACACAAGTTTTTCTTATCAGCGGAAGTTCTGTTGGGACCTTGACCCAAAGTCATTTAGATAGTGCAAGGTCATTGGCAAAAAAAATCAGTGGAAATGACCACTCTTGGGGCATTTGTATTTCTCAAACACATCTTGTTTTCTTTCAAAAACTATTGGATAATTCTAGCATTGACTTGCTCATTAACATATATACGATTTTTTTTAATATTACAGGCCCAGTGGGGAGGGGGGCACAAGGGGCGCCCTCACTTTTTTGTGAGTGAAGTATTTTGTTATTACAGTAAATTTTCCTAAGATGCTGCCCCCCCCCCCCCCCTTACACACACAGCGCTTTTTGTTGTTGTAAGACTGAGCAATGGCTAATTCAAGGATTTGGACAGTAAATTTAATAGTTTTTTTTCCGTTTGCTTATCAGATTTTTTTTGGAAGTGCCCCCCCGGGACTTATTAAGGTTGAAGAAAAAAACCCCACCTGTAATATAAAATATCACACTGTGTAATACAATGCTGCATATAATATGTAGCGCTTGCGTTTAAGTCAATTTAGGTCATTCTTCTGGGAAATTCTTGTGCAAAATAAAAGGTAACATTGTCATAGAACTTTATATCATCATGTATGCACATATAACTGTTATAGTACACAAATAACTCTATAGTAACCGTTAAAAATACACTGGATGCTTTCAATCTTGACAAGGAATAAACTAATCAAATAATCTCATATATATGTTCCAGAGAAAAAATATAATTGCTTATTTAATTATGACTAATTTGCATTAATTTGTTTACTATTTTGATTTTTTATGAATATTGTAAGAGGAAATAACTAACTTACTTTGTATATCTCTACATTGTGATTGTATCAAATGTTAAAAGTACACTAAATATATGTACACTATACGTTCTTGTTACAATTAAAGAGCCTGTTTATTTGTAGATATATCTAGTAATCTTTTATTGAAAGATCGAAGCATGAATAGTAACCCCTCCGTCTGATCTTGGCATACAGTTTGGAACACGGGGCTTTAAATGTCATTCAATTGTTAATTTTGAAACGTTAACGGCGCTCTTCTAATGTCAAAATTTAATTTAATTGATTCATTTAGGATTGAAAGTGGATTAACCTCTTTTCAATAACTATGTGACTGAACATTTATATATCCATATACATTTTAGCCTTGTGTGAAGAAAGATTTGTTACAACACTGAGGCCTGACAAGACGTTTGATGAAGGATTACGCACATGTAAATATACACTGTCACGCTAACCATGTAAGTAGAATTAATCGATTTCCGTTTCTTGAAAGCTCTGATTACTTTTATGATGTTTCATGTAATAGAATCTCTCTCTTTCTCTCTCTCTCTCTAAAAACATTGAAAGCATACGAATGCAAAAGAATAAAGACAGGCTAGTTACCTTTAAGTTCAGAAGTATATTAGACTATTTTAACTATTGCTTAGCGAAACTAAAGTGATTGGAAGAACCAAGTGAAAGTTACACTTAATGTTACTTGCCTACCGACTGTATTAAGTGATTTTTTTTTTCGATCTGTCGATTAAATTTGTTTACACACTTATTTTTTACTTAGCAGCTATAAAAATAAAGGAGTTATATAAGATTGAATAATTTCAAATATTACAAATGAATTCTGTATTCTTTTCTCAAATCTATCATGTTTATTTCAAATTAAATAAAAAGAATAATGTATTTTGAAAGTTTTTTTTTTTTTAATAATTTACATTTTAAAAGAAATCAGGACTTATTAACATCTGAAATATAGGCATTTCCAACACATCACAGACAATTACAAAAATGACAAAATGTTTCTCAGAAACAATCATTTTGACTAGACATTTTTCAACATAGCATGGCAATCAAAAGAAAAAGTTACGCAATGAATTTCTTGCACTTCATTATCTACTGGAACAGTAATAAATTATGAGGAATTATCGTTATCTCTAAACAATACTTTCTATTCCTATTTTGTGGCGGTTTTCTAAAAAGTTAAAGAAACATTTACATTTGAAATCTCCAAACATTTTCTTCAATACTTCTGTTGACAGTTACCAAACAGTCCAGCTGAGAAGCGCTACTTCAGGAGAAGTGGATGTTTTGAGTTCAATTATCTCGACCGTCGTTTGTTTGTCAACTTTGTACTTGAAAAATTCTGAAACCCTTTTTCATCTGAGAGAACTTTCTTTCGTTTAAAGACGAAGAGTTCATATCTCTAAAATAGGTTCCATTTGAAGATATTGCGAGCGAATGGTCTGTTTTGGAGAAAGAAATATTTCATTATCATGCGATAGTTTCACTTCTGTTTTAATGAACCGTATTCTAGCAACGCTTGAGCATATATTTTAGAGTAGACGGTGTGTTTTAGACCTCAGTGAGATCGGTTGTATAAGGAGAGAGAACTTTGGTACGCGTTATGTATCCTTCAGAAAGTAGAAGATATAAAAGAATAAATCTGAACCTTTAATGTAATTAACAAAAATCTCTAAAAGTAAAGATAGATATCAGGAGTTTCCTACTTTTAGATTTTGATTTGTAACACCATATGCTTCAGCTGCTTTTTTGTATTTTTTTTCTCTCTAGAAATTTCATGGATTTTTTTTTTAATTTCTAATACATGTATACCAAACTGCAAACATTTACGGAAGACCTCTGATATCCTTTCAAATTTTTAAATTCTGTATAATCAGTTGTATTTCTTAATTATGTGTTACATTGTACATTTATTAATGGAACTTATTACATTTATAGGGTCTGATCAATATTTAATTTTGAGTTCTACAGTTTGCTGTGTAACAAATTAATAAAGCTCAAATACACGATTACTGGGGTATAATATCATTTACTTTCTACTGAAATAAAGGGGGAAAATGCAGAATTAGAAATAGTTCTAAAATGATGTTTGTCTATGTCAATCATCGTGAAAATAATTTTACCCAGTAAAACCAATAAACCCCGCTAACGATGAGCACGGTATTTAATCAATATGAATTTTTAATTATATGTGAGAAAAGTAAATATTGAAAATATGAGAATTAGGCTTTTAAAAAATTGAACATTAAGCTTAATATGGATACTAGCTTATCAATACTATATGAGATTGAGAAAAAAGGATAGTTACCTATGATATTTATTTCAGGTAGAAATGAATTAAGATAAAATACGAGAATAAAATATCCTCAAACAATATATGTTTATATATAAACGATAGATAAATTCGGTTTTTAGTCAATTGTGTGGACCGAATGTTTTGGTTGCAAGGTTTGACAGGCATAGACATCGAAAGGTGTGAAAATTTCGTACTTTTTGTGGTAAATATGTGCTGGATAGCAATATACCATGCATACATGTATAAAACCTGCAAGAATACATATTTGCACATCACTGTCTAAGGCAGCTGAAATTGAATTTCTGATAGGAAAGCAAAGAGACACAACTAAACGTTTAAATTAATTCATCGATGACAATTTTATTATGTCGAGAAAATACGTGTAATGGGGAACAGCCAGTATTGAGATAAGAAACAGCCATATATAACAGTAAATTGTAATTATCAATATGCTTGTGTTGGATTAGATGTATGAAAAAAAGATATACTAATTAGCAAACTTCATGCACATACATTTCCTTATTTTTGTGTCAATATTCATAAAATGACTCAATATTTACTTTGTTAATGTCAAGTAAATAACACTTGCACGAACCATTGAACTAAGTATCTGTTTGCACGATATTTGTTTATCAAAGACATTATATGAATGTGTTTGCTGGATTGTATCGAGTTATTACTTTCCTATATCTTCTAACATTTGTATTTAATTTTTCCTATTTTCTATTTTAAGTTCACATACAAAACATTATGTCAATGGTTAAGATTACTTTGAAATGATAAGTATCCCATGACAGAGTTGGGCCCACCTGAAGCAAAAAATGAAGTCTTTGTTTTAGAAAACCGATGCACTGTGAACAAAGATTGCACAAAGAAAATTTAAAGTCATTATTAAAGCCATCGCTTTCAGTCGGCAATTTTGCTAGCCATTGTGGAGAGGGATTAGGTTTCAGTTTAAATTCCTCTGTCTATAATGTACAAACCCGACATTGTTTGGAAACGTATTAGGTTTGTTGTTAATTTCATATGCTGGAAAGGAACTCTGATATATCAACAGATATTGGGATAACCATGTAAGTGTTTCATTCAAAAGTTATATCTGTAAGAACATTCTTAGATTTTTTTTTACGAATTCAATTGAATGATATATAAAAGGCAAAGGAAATTTTATTTCTTTGATGAGCATATACTTAATTTTTATCTCTTTGATTGCTGTTACATCGAACGTCTCAATTCACTATTCATCACTTTTAACCTAAAGTCGATCAGTAGACAAACTCAGCTAACTTGTTAAGATTTTTGTGCGTTTTTAAAGGGAAAAAAAGACGAAATAATCTATTGCTTACATTTTGAATTCTGTATCCCTATAACTTATCTTGTTTGCAAAATTTTTGTCCCTGAAGTTTTGTTATCTAGAAATTAATAAATGTTATCATTAACAAGTTCATCAAATTTTTTAATTGAAAATTATAAGTGGCGTTTTGATAAGAATGCAGTTCATGAACAAATATTATATTAGTATCTTATGACCAATTTACCGTCGATAATTTTTTTTTTTTTTGTAACTGGTCTTCTAAATTCACAAGCTATGAGGTAGGTATATGTATTATGTGATAAAGATAAATAAAATTGAAAAAATTGATTCACAGTGATTATTTTTTAAAAATGCATACAGATAGAAATATCTAAAATGTTTTAAGTGAAATAGATATCGTTGAGTTTTCTTTTTTTTAACCTCTCTTTTAGATTACCCGTGATGGCATCATACTAGAAGAATTCAATAGAAAATATCGGAAATGGGCCTCATTAAAATAAAATCAATTTGAAGTAATTCGAGTGTAATGAATGGTGATAATGTGTGACACTTGGTGAAAGCTTCTAAGTCTCCGATGTGTGATGTTTGATGAAAAGGCTACAGTTCATAATTATGCATAGGGAAATGCTCAGACCTTCCACGGCTGGTGCTGTTTCGAGGAAACATGGTATGTATCTACACAAACGTAGACCAAAAACCTCCATTTATCGTAAAAAGCGTCAAGAACTTCTGATGTTGGACGAAGAGACTGAAATCGATTCGTATAACAGCCATGCGCTCGAAATTAGCCCGGATGAGGCATACGACAGCGATTCGACGGTGTGTGCTTCTGAATTTGAAATAAATAGTGAAAGGAGTGCGAGATGTTCGGCAGCATCCTCCTCCACAGGACTGTCGTCCAGCGAGGTATCGGATGGAAATCGTGAGTTCGAGCGGTACATACCACACGATTATGACATGATAAGTGAAATCGATGGATTGTCTGTGGAGACGGGTTGTTGCAGGTTTGGTTTAGTCCCTATGCGGTTTGCCGCAAAAAGGATTGAAATTAACGAACCAGAAAATTGTCACTGCCTTTCAAATATGCTCTTTCATGAAAATAATGCTTTTAGTCCATGGAAAACATCATGTAGGCATAAAAGTGACGTTCAAACAACGCAAAAAGATAACCGAAATTCTAACCCCAAACAGTGCCAAGTACCAAGTTTGTATAGACGAACGTATGGTCAATCGTCAAAAAGCATGGGCTATCCTTTCAGTCATTTTGAGAACAGTAGCAAATATATTCAGCAATATAAAGAGCTTTGTTCATCTGTTGGGAAGTTTAGACAGGCCCTAGAGGTTACCCGACAGAACAAGGTATCTGCCCCTTTACCCGATCCTTACCTCAACAGACTGCGCTCTACAGCTTGGTAGGTATTTTTAAAATGATTCATAATGTCTTACAATGAAATTCAATCCAAAAATAAATAATTAAATAAAATGAATTTACGAACATAATTTTAATTATTTTCTAATATTACATGTATTACATTAACGTCAACTGGTAGAAAATATTGAATTTAAAGAGAAAATTACTTAAACCCATATGACATTCATTTACATTACTTTCTAAGATACGTGCATATATCTTTGAAATTCTAAGCCTTTTTTTTTTATTGTAGACTGTTTGTACAAGATAATATGCAATAATAACATATTTTTGTATTAGAAGGCCTAATAAAGGGCTTATTTTGTTGTATTATCTTTACTAACAAATCTCCCAATTCCCTTTTCTTCATTTTGAAGATTTTTGCAACAATATTTAACACAATCTAAAAACTGTTTAGCCTTTGGTTTAACCAAACGATTACTGTCACACGAAAAACAAATTTTATTCCCTTGATAGAATTTGAAAGGGATCAGAGCGCCGGTAGATTGGTCTTTAAGAAAATTAACAGCCCATTGGAGAAACCTTTAAAGTTGTTTTTCTCATGAACATGGCATGTATAAATTCAATTACCACTTCAATGTATATATAAGGCGATTACTTCTTGTGGTCAGTAATTTTGATAATAATTCTGTTAAATGTTATTAAAATCTTTCAAAAAAATTACGCAATGCGAAAGGAAAGCCTGTTTGATTAGATGATTTCGCTGATTCGCAGTGCGGAGTATTAAGCGGAATGTTAGATTTCAAGTTAATTAACGCGTCATAACGCGGTTCCGTGACCTCAATATATTTTTCTTTCAGCTGCTTTTAAACAATAATCTAAGAATTGTGACATTTTTCAACAGAATTCATTCATATTATTTACATTCTATATGAAGTATCGAAAAATACAGTTTATATTTTCAAACTTTTTGCAGACATCTGCATTTTTGTCGCTTAGGAGATTTTAGAGTAAACCTTCGGTGTCCTGTCTACCTGTAATTTTCATAATCTCTAAAACATGTTTGATTATTTAAATATGTTTTTTTTCTTCTTTCAGCTCCATTGCCGAGAATTTCGATATCTTCGCAATATTAGACATCGAGAAAGATGCAAGGTATTTAATGTACTAATTAAACCTACATTTAATCCACTCAACACAATGAAAGATTTTAATTAGACCTTCCTATTAAAGAGAGGATAACAATAACTATTTAAATATCTTAGTAAAAGTCACAAAATATAGGTCAGGATACTAAATGCACATGTAGTCGAAAATGTATTTTTTATTCAAAATTCGAATTTTTAAACTTTTTTGCAGTGACAAAGATATGTCAGAAAGTGACAGAGAATTCTCGAGGTCCTTGACAGTTAATGACAGGGGCAAAAATCTAAATTTGGCCCCCGTGCGAGATTCGCCACCGCTACAGTTTTCAGCACACCATGGGACGTCCATTAACAAAAATGACATGCGTTTCAACCAATATTTAAATCTCGTAATACCAAAGACAGCACTCCACAAAACTAATATTCAGCTAAATCTAGATAATCCAAAAGAAATGTGGACCCCAAGATTTGAGTCTAAGAGAAATCCAACAAAAAACTCCCACAGGCGATCAGAAAGTGTCGATTCACTAAAACGGTCAACGAAACACGCAGACAGCAGCTCCAGGCGATCTTCAGGTGCAAACAGAGCAAGTCAACTGCGACTAGAACGTGCAGCGACAAGTGCCGATGGTACCCGAGTAAGAAGTGATTCAGGATGCCTCATACCACCGCCACCACCCTTGCCACAGAGTCCATCCATTTTAACGAAACGCAAAACACAAAGTCAGAAAACGAAGTGCGTGAACCAGATACGTGCGATGTTATCTGATCTTGACGATTGTAAAGGGAAGTTGGATCGCACCTGTAGACGACTCGAAAATATAAAACACAGCTCTGATTCAAAGTCTGATCGGGTTCTTCCAGCCACTAAGACATTTGGAATAGAAGGTCAGACATGCAGAACGGAGGACCAATTAAGTATCATTCATCGTCTTAGAAAAGAAAAAGAACGGACGTTAAGAGTATCGGCTGTCAATTAATTAAATACATAAAATCCATATTCAGAATGAAAAAAATCTTGAAAATCAATTTGGGTACAAGTGCATAGCTAATTTTTCATACCCTTGAACATTTTGTACACCATGTGTATATTAAAAAATAAATTATTTTTCTAAGTACAGCGTTTTCTTGTTATTTAAAAAAGATTTAGAAAATGCATTTCACATGATTCTATCATTTATATATTCGTATATATTTACATGTATTCGTACAGTGATGGTTTTACTGATATTAAACTGTAGATATTTTATTAAATTATCATAACATGTGAAAAGATGCTAGTATAAAAATAATTTGCATTGACAGCATTTCGTTTGTACGCATGTATAACGGTATAAGGAATTTTCTCATGATCATTAGGAGAGGGTAACCGTATATACACAATCAAAAAATCCCCATAATTACTTTCCTTACGGACGGTTGTCCCAAGAAATCTTTAATAATTTTTGTTTCACTTATAAAGTTAATACAATGTAATTTGCATGCACCGTAATCATCAATTTTTGCAAGTTTCAATGAAATATGTTTATAAATAACTATTTGAAGCCTAAATTCGAAACAACATTTGATTTTCTGTTACTTACCGATTTTTGCATCTCGCACATACTAGAGTCATCAAAAGATCGTGGAATTACATATTTGAATATAAAATTTTCCAAAATCCTACGGGAAATGATTGTGCCTATAACTTTATAATCATATATTTGTCATTTGTAAAGTCAAGTGAATTTTCTATATTGATACTCCAGATCATATAGTTTTTTTGTTAATGTAAAGGATGTATTCACTATTACAAAAGAATTGACCTATAGGAGAGAACAATTTCCCGGAAAAAGTGACATTTAAAAATCAATCTTTATTTGTTGTTTTCTACCGTATATATGTCTAAATTTTTCAAATTTGAATTTTACAACTAAAATTTATTATTTACAACTTCACAATAAACCTCCAAAGTTGGCCGAAACACCATTTTGTCCGTTAAAGCGTTGATTTTTGCATAAATTTTGGCCTAGAAGTCCTTCAGGGCAGGCCTGCCCCTAAATAAAATTGTGATATTTTGATGGGTTGGGATGTAAGGAATAATTTAAGATAGGATTTTTTTAGGGGCACCCCTGCCCTAGGGTCGAAATTCACAAAAAACCTACAAAAAATAAGTAAACTTGATTTTGACAATAATCTGCTTCAAATTTATACCGTTCAATCTTGTAGTCAGAATAGCTCATTTGATATATGCGCTGCGCTGACTTTTATATCGTGGGTACTTTATTTTTAAAGTCGGGGGTTTGAATCCACCTGTTGCCACACTTTTATAGTTTTAAATGTTTGCCTTTTCAAAGACTATTTTAATTTTTTTATAGGCTTGTGTATGTTTCTTCAATTATCTATCCTTTATGCATTCCCATTTTTGATATAAGAAACACTAGAGAGAGATCAAATCGTAACAATCCAATATACAGTTGTCAGTCAGGCGGAACAAGTCTCAGACTTTCTCCGAGGACAAGAATAACTCACTCTGTGTTACTCGATACAGGTATTCTCGGCAGCATTGAGCTGCGATGAATTTCAATCGTATATATTCCTTAGAATTTAATCACATTGCTTTTATTCTGTCTGTGCTACTAGTGCTTGTCTGGGTTACATGTAGTACATGAATGTTACGTATTGCTTGAATTATTTGAGCTTAATATATTTAGAATAACATACATGTACTTTTGTTTTCAGTCAATGTTTTAAGATCTTAAGTTTTGAAACAGTAGGGCTACATATATCAATAACTGTACTCCCTTGGATTTCATTTAGGCCCATATGATTTGCACATATTAATTGCATGTTTTTATTATATCCAACTGAAATGTGTTGTAAAATAAATAGCCTAGACATAAAAAATAGAGTTCCAGAGACAGTAGACATTGCCATTATGTACAATGAGAAGTAAAGAAAAATATCAGTTGTTATATTTTTAGATAACAAACTCAGAATATCAATGAAAGTGTTCCTCCTACCTCTACTCACTGAAATAAAGATTTATGAAAAACAAATTGTTACATGTATTCAGCCTAGCTAATGTCATTAATCGGAACGGAAATCGGCAAGCTTTTTGTAGAGAAAAAACCAAGCCCGGCCCTATAGGTCAGATCCCTATTTATATAGAAGTGATCCTTTGAGAATAAAGCAAAAAAAAAAAAAAAAAAAAAAAAAAAAAAAAAAAAAAGAATCGCCGGCAATGCTATTTCTAAAAGTCAAAGAATTGCAACAACGATATTAAACAACCTATTAATGATGTTTTCAAATGTATATGACATTACAACTTTGTAATATTTTGTCAAAATCACAAAAATATTATTTCCCTACCAAGTGCAAAAAATGAAAAAATTTTGGTCAGGTAGTTTAAAAAACATTCAGAATGTTTGCGTTTTTCTGGGACAACCCTCGTACAATAATAGCATCTATCTGCATATACAAAATAGATGCCTTTATTTTACGAGAAAAGCATTTTGTCCGAGTCGGTTGGCCCTACGTATACAGTATTTACTTTCCTTTCTGCGGCACATTTCAAAGATAAACTGATTCGATACGCAAGATCATTCCCAGAGTACGATCAATTTTAAAACCGAGGCAATCTACTGAAAATACTAAGTAAGTTGATCATACAAGGATTTCAACAACTTCTTTTAGTCACCTTTTTTGCAAATTCTGCGGTCATTATATTGACCTTGTTTGTCAATACAGCCTATCGTTGGGTCGCATTTTGTCTGAAATGTTTCATATATGTTTCATATCATTTGTTACTTCACTGCTTTTATACTAATTTTGACTACGGAGTACTCTATCAAACCGATCAATACATAAGGCTCACGGCAGGTGTACATGTAACTGATCGACAGGGGATGTTTATCTCTGCTAGGCACCTGATCCCACCACTAGTGTTTCAAGGGATCCGTGTTTTTGCCCTGTTCACAATACATTTTGTGTACTGGATTTATGAGATTGATCACTATTCGCTATCACCTTTTAATTTTCTATCAGACATATGTTGCATTAAAAGTTTAGACTTTATCAAGTTAAACTTATCTATAACAGTATACAATACCAAAGGTTTGCAAATGAAGTATACGATAAATAGATTTCCATAATAAATTACGAGGGATGATCCGTACACTTGCACTAGTTAGTATACAATTGTCATTTTAGTGCTTTATTAAGATTTTATAAATGTTATTTTGGTACTTATTGAGACTATAAGATTTTTCAGACCCTTTAATTTGCAAGTATGGTGCATCAATTCCTCCGTAATAAAAAAAAAAGAACATTCTTTAAAACATTTCAGGGTTCTTCAGGGATCAACCTCGGCTTGGTAAAAGTGGGATTGAATTAATAGTCACAAGAGTACTCTGGATTGAATTTTATTGAGCTGAAGAAAAAAATTCTTACACTTGAAAAATCTTGAGAATTATTCAAATTTTAGTCTTATAGATAAACTTATAGAAAAAGAAGAATATGGAAGAAAGGGTCACCCTGATATGGTCTCAAATCCTTCATCGTACTCTGTGGAGGTATTCTGAAGGTTCATTGGCCATGGAAAAGTATCATAGAAACCGTCTAGGGCTGTAGCTAAATAAATACTAAAATGGGGTGAATGCTGTTACCTGAAACACCCTGATTTGGAAAGGGATATCCCCCGTTGCTACTTGATAATGTACATCTATCAGAAGTAGGGAACTCAATATTTCTAAATGGAGTTCAGGGGGGTACTTTGCCCCAAAACAAGCCGGTTACATGTATCCAGAAAAAATTGTGCAAATACTTACATGTAAATTGGTCGTGGAACAGTTGACTTAATTGCTGCTTCCCCCATGTGTGGGGAGGCTGCAAACTGTGCCAGTATGCAGCCATTTGGCGTCTGCCGCCACCAAGCCTACTTGTGTGAAACTTGTACTATACTCAATAGGACTGTGATTTGTGAACCACACCTAAGTGAAGTAAATGTGACAGTGATATTTATACTTTGAACTAAATAATGCATATTTGAGTTTGAGATATCTTACGTATGATATCTCAAGTTTTAAATAGTTGATGTTTCAACTACTGTGAGTTTGAAATGTAATGTTTGTTATGTGAAATTTGATATTTGAATTTTGACATATGAAAGTTTGAGATATATGTTGAATGTGTGCTGACCCTCCGCGGTAAATCCGGGACGGTTAGTGGGTACACATGTACCTATGAGTTTCGTGGTTCTGTCTAATAGAAATGGCATCCCATCAGGCCTCTAAGTGGCCTCTAAAAGTTATGCTCCATCTGGTGCCTTATAAAAAAATTAGTCGCCAACGCAAATTTAAAGTCGCCAGGCAATTTTTTAAGGCACCAAAAGATAATAGTAATCAATATATGGGAACAATGACATGACTACGTAAGGTTGGTGCTAGGGCTTTCGTACTTCACATGTGTAATCCTTGTGACAAGACCTTCCTTTGGATATCAACAACTTTGACCCTTTGACCTTGACCTAGGAGTTTGACCTACTTTTGAAAAAACTTTAACATTGGCCATAACTTTTAAAGAGTTGGTGCTAGGGTTTTCATACTTTACATATGTAATCCTTGTGACGAGGCATTCTTTTGGATACCGACAACTTAAGTCCTTTGACCTTGACCTTGGAGTTTGACCTACTTTTGGAAAACTTTAACCTTGGCCATAACTTTTGAACAATTGGAGCAAGGGCTTTCATACTTCACATATATATTCCTTGTGACAAGACCTTACTTGAAATACCAACAACTTTGACCATTTGACCTTGGAGTTTGACCTACTTTTGAAAAACTTTTAACATTGGCCATAACTTTTGAACAGTTGGTGCTAGGGCTTTCATACTTCACATGTCTATTCCTTGTGACAAGGCCTTCCTTTGGATATAACAATTGTAATTCATTGACCTTGACCTTAGAGTGTGACCTACTTTTGAAAAACTTTAACCTTGGTCATAACTTTTGAAAGAGTGGTGCTACGGCTTTCATATTTCACATGTATATTTCTTTGTGAGAAGGCCTTTCGTTGGGCACCATTGATT